TAATTTTTGTGCATGTACCATCAAAGCAGATCTGACTGGTACAGGAGGAGATTGTCCCTCCTTCTCCAGCAGAGCATCTGGTGGATTCAAACCACATCTCTGGGATTGCAGTGCAGCTTCTTGCCACTAGGCCACCAGAGCTCCTTTAAGTTCTTAAGTATAAGATTCAACAGTTATCTAGATAGTATTTTTTAATTGTTTTAAATTTTATATTGGTTTGCTCACAAAGTTCACATACATTGTTTCACACTATTCATTAATACTGTGTTTCATACAATCATTATCATGCATTATGTTTTATAAAATCAATCACCATTAGACCTTACCCATCATTACCCTGTCTTTTCAGGTCCCCACTGGATCCTTCTCATTTCCTTCACCCTCTCCTTCCACTCACCCAACTGTGAAACCCTGTGGTTTCACCCCTACCCATCCTCAGCCTTCTGCTCCCATCACTTCATCCCTTGGGTCCCTATACATATTTTACTAGTTATCCTTCTATTTTTAAAATAATGGTCTTATGCAGTATTTGTCCTTATGAGACTGAGTTGGTTCACTTAGCATAACACTCTCCAGTCTCTCCCAAGATATGTAGTATTTTTCGAAATTGTTGCTCCTGAATGCTGCATAGTACTACACTGTGTGAATGTACCACAATTTCTCAATCCATTCAGTTGCAGTTGGACATCTCGGCTATTTCCATGTTCTTGCTATGGTGAATAATGCTGCTATGAACATTGGTATACAGATATTCATTTGTGTCTTAGTTCTAATTTCCTTGGGGTATATTCCTAGTAGTGGGTCATATAATGGGTCCTAGATATGGAGTTCCTATGTTCAACTTTTTAAAGAAATACTAAACTGTCTTCCACAGTGGTTGTACCATTTAACAATCCACCAACAGTGTATGAGAGTTCCCATCTCACCACATTCTCTCCAACATTTATTACTTGCTGTCCCGCTAAACTTTGTTTTTGTTACTGAGGTTAGATGGCATCTCATTTTAGTTTTGCTTTGCATCTTTCTTATTGCCAGTGATTTTGAGCATTTCTTCATGTGCCTGTTGGTCATCCAAATGTAATCCTTTGTGAAAAGTTTTTCCATGTCTTTTGCCCATTTTGTAATTTTGTTATTAGTCTTTTTCTTCTGCAAGCTCTGGAGTATTCTGTAAACTTTTGTTATGAGGCTGTTGTCTGAGATGGTATTGCCAAATATTTCTTCCCACTTAGTAGGTTTTTTTTCACTTTGTTGAAAAATTTTTATGAGCACAGAGATTTAATCTTTATAAGGTTCCATTCATCGATTTTATCCTCTTCAGATTCTGCATTTCTGGCTATATTTGGCAGACTTTTTCTACCATAGACCAGGCCCTCTAAGCTTGATTCCAGTTTGTCTCTTATGAACTTTATGATTTTGGGCTTTACTCACAGGTCTCTGATTCAACTTGAGTTGATTTTTGTGTATGAGGTGAAATGTGGATCCTGTTTAAGCTTTCTGTAGTTAGCAGTCTAGTTTTGCCAGCACCAATGGTTGAAGAGGTTGCCATTTCCCCATTTGATAGGTTTGATTTCCTTGTCGAAGATCAACTGACAATAAATAGCTGGGTCTAGTTTTGAGTTCTCTATTCTGTTCCATTGATCTATGTGCCTGTTTTTGTACCAGTCCTATGATGTTTTAGTTACTACCTCTATGCCGTAGGTTTTGAGATCAGGGAATGCTATGCCTCCCACTTCATTTTTGTGTTTCAGAAGTGCTTTGCTTATTTAGGGTCTCCTTCCTCTCCAAATAAACTTGACAATTTCCCTTTAGATGTTCTTGAGAAATGAATTTGGTATCTGTACTGGGATTGCACTGAACATGTAGATTGGTTTTAGGCAGGATTGTAATTTTCACAATAATGGGTCTTCCTATCCTCCATGAACAGGGCACGTTTCCCCATTTATTTAGGTCTTTTTTGTGTCCTGAAGAATTATTCTCTAGTTTTCTTTGTACAGGTCTTTTGTATATCTAGTTAGGTTCACTCTCAAGTATCACAATTTGTAGCTGGCGATTATAAATGGTATTGCTTTTTTGGTTTCCTTCTCTGAGATATCTTTTTAATAAAATAATTGCCACTTATCTACAGGGAAGATTAGTCCCAAGACCCTGAGTGGATGCCTGGAACCAGAGATAATAATGAATCCTGTAGATTTTATGCTTTGCAATCACTCTCCCCTCATACCTGTGATAAAGTTTAGTTTATAAATTAGGCACAGTAATTACAATAACTAATAATAATATACAAGTTATAAGAATATATTCTAATAAAAGTTATGTTAGATGAAGTAATTTAAATGATGTAGACAATGTGCATTAGGCCTACTATTTTCAGACTGAGGTTGACTGAGGGTAACTGAATCCACAGAAGGTAATACTATGGAAAAGGGGAAACTATTGTATCAATTGCTAAATTATAAAAGTAATGTTGCACACATAAAAGTCCTAAATACAACTGTTTGTTATTAGGTGTCATCCAGTTGACTGATTCATTGGGACCCTATGAACTAGGAATCTGGATCCTAGTCTATCCTGCACCATCCTTACCATTCTTGATATATTTGAACCCATTTTCCATTACAACTATGTCCCTGCATCTTCATTGTGCCAATTAATCTCATCAGAAATCTTTCCATCTGCTGTTGACCCTCCAACTTCCAAGCATGATGTCTTTTCCCAAGGACTGGCCCCTCCTACCAACATGTTCAAAGTATGTGAGGCGAAGTTTCTTCATCCTTGCCTCTGAGGAGCACTCTAGTTGTACTTTCTCCAAGACACATTTGTTTGCTCTTTAGGCAGTTCATGGGATGGATATTCAGTACTCTTCTCCAGCATCCCAACTCTAAGGCATCCATTCTTTTGTTGTCCTTTTTCACTAACTTTTAGATGCGTAAGCAGTAACTGAAAAGACTAAGGCTTAAATTAGCTGCAAATTAGCCTTTAAACATACATTGCTTCACCTTGGAGAGGCCCTTGACAGCAGATTTCTCCAAAGTAAACACATCTTCTGATTTACTTAGTGTACTGATTGTGGATCCATCCAATACGATAAATTAATGGTAACTCCAATCTTTTCTCTATCATAATGCTGCCTATTGGTCCAGTAGTGAGGATTTTAGTTTTCTTGATGTTGAAATGTAACCCATATTGAAGGCTATAATCTTTGATCTTTTACAAAGCTCTGATGGCTTGATAAGGAGTTGCTGCTGTTAATCCAAAGGCAGGTGGTTTGAAATGACCAGTTGCTCCTCAGGAGAAAAAATGTAAATGTGTCATTTATAACTTCTGAAAACCCTCTGGAGGGTCAGTTGTCAGTCAGTTACAATTAGGAAGCAATGACGTTGACATTTTTGGAGTACAACTATTAATTTGAGCATTACCATTCTCTGCTGGAATCTAAGACAATGTGGAAAATGTTACTTACCATGGTGTTAACAGGTTTCTCCTCTTCTTTTGTACATTCCTGTGATTTTACTTTTTCAGGTGTACCTTCCTCATGTGATTCAGACTCCTAGAGCGAGAGGGGGGAAGAGAGCTATAAATAGACAATCTTTTAAAAAAATTTGTGAGAAGTAAGCACAACTAAATAAATAATTACCTTTTAACAAGGAAAATAGGTTGGAACAAGAAAGAAATGAAAACTCTGAAGGAAGTAAGCAAATATCAAAGACCAATAACTAATGAAAATGTCTTTTGCTTTCATAATGTGTGTGCCTTGTCTCATTAAGAAAGTTTGTTCTTATTACTGCTAAATGAGAAATGTTACAATAAAAGTTGGTAAGATGCTACAATGAATTTTGAACCAAATATATAAAAATGTTGTGTTGCCGAATGCCTTAAGTCAAGTTGGACTCATAGGACCCTATGAACAAAAGGCCTGAAGCCCCTCTACAACTATCGACATATATCAAAGTTCATAGAGTTTCCGGAGGCATGTTGTTTAGGAAGTGGATGCCACTCCTGCTTTTAGCATATTATTATATCCAAGTTCCTAAAACAGGAACAAAATAGAGGCCATTGTATTTCTTAGTCAATTTGACTGCTTAATATTTGTGGAGTAAAATTAGAGGAATATTTTGCCATAGGGAATAATTTAATAGGAAAAAGATAAATTGGTTTTGTCTTCTTTTATATGGTCACTGAAGTCTTCCTCCAAAACAGAGGCTATGCCAATTCCTCACCTGTAAGGAGAGCTTCTTTAACCCACAGAACAAACATTTAAGGACATAATTTAATAAAAGAAAGTCTTTAAAATTTAAAGGGTAGGGAAAAAAAACGTCTAACTTTTAAGTGACATGTTGCTGTTTGTTGTTATGTGCCGTCGAGTCGCCTGCGACTCATAGCGACCCTATGTACAACAGCCCTAAACTCTGCTCTGTCCTGTGCCCATCGCACTGTCTCTGATGCTCCCATCCCAATCATCCCAGTCACTGAATTAATCCTCCTCATAGAGGGCCTTCCTCTCCTGCGCCGTCCCTCCACCCTCCCAAGCATGATGTCCCTCTCTAAGGAACGGTCTCTCCTCACAACATGTCCAAAGTAAGTTAGATGGAGCCTCAGAATCCTTGCCTCCAAGGAGCCACCCGGTTTAACCCTCTCCAGGACAAATCTGTTTGTTTTCCTAGCAGT